ATCCACCCATACGCACTTCAAGGCGGTAGGTCACCGTCGCCCTATTTTGTTAAAAGCTTCCGGGGGAATTTCAGTCCTTGAAAACACTTTCTGACCAAAGAAAATGGATCCACTGCGCTTTGTTCTTTCTTGGTGCACACTACTATCGAAGCGGGCATGTTTACACCGTAGCAACAGCAAGAAAACTGGTGCCATCAAGCTCAGCCTTCGATCACGTGACCACAATAGTAGCAACTATAAGGTCGCTTGAGCAGAAGGCAATTTGAGTAACCTAAAGATAATTTATGACTTACCCTCGCAGAAGGGGAAAAGTTATATAATGAAGATGTTGACAATACTCACATGGTTATGAAGGAGACTCACATTAGTTGTAATTTGAGTGCGTGTACGTGTGTAAAATGATCGTTAACCAGCTGCTCTGTGTTTATCCAGTTATTTGTCTATGAATGTTCAATTCAGCTTTGTCCTTTCTTCATCTATGTCCTTTCAAGTTATAGGTGATTATGGATCTCTACAAATTCCTATCATTTGTGTGCTTTTTTTCTAACCTTTCTAGGGACCCTGCACCACGGTTTTGCCATAGATTCACACGAACACGTTATGTAAGTGGCACGCTTCATTCTCCAATCTCTCTTGCCCACACTCCTTGAAGGTTAAGATTTCAAAGCTTTCCTTCGTCCGAATTCCATGTGCTTCTTTCTGTTTATGAGTATAGGGCTACTTTTTATTGCCATCTTCTTAAAGACTTACTCGTTGCTTACGCACCCCGTTCATGGCATTTTCAGTATCATTTCTACTGCATATAATTTTCTCCTCATCCGTCGGGAGAACGTCGTATGCATAAGAGAGAGAGAGAGAGAGAGAGAGAGAGAGAGAGAGAGAGAGAGAGAGAGAAGAAGAGAGACATGTTTGATTTCCATTTTAATATTATTAGTTATCTGTTAATTTCAATCATAAAAATGGATACGATTTAGTGTTTGAAGCAGTATTTTTAGAATTTAACACTAACAGGTCTGAAGTTAACAAAAGCAACGGAAAAGCGATGAATAACAGGTTTGACGAGTTAGCGTCAACAGATTGCTGGCCAAAACAAAAATGGTTCCTGAAGGAGTAAGAATTAATAATAGGTAAAGAAACGAATTACTATTCACTATTTCATTCTGCCAGTTATGACCATTCAGGACGTTGCCATTCATTCTCTCCACGGCTTCCACTCTTTTGTTGATTTCGGCAATTCTTTCTTCTTTGAGATACTGATTTCTGTATCGTTCAATTTGTTTTATTTTATTATTTTTGATCCTTTCACCTCCAAGCAAGACAATAAAGCCACTAAGACGCAAGAATTTTCTTGGAGTGGAAGAAAATGCGAAGACATTGGTGAGGAGAAAGTAAGATAAAACAACTGGATTCAGTAAGACGACAGACGATTAAGATGGCGATTGACGTTGCATTTAAATTTTTGAAGATTGTCGGTGGCGGGAAAGCAAGAAACTGGAAGTGAGTTTCACAGGCGAGAACTATTTGAATATTCCTCATGACGCGTGCCAAAAGTTTCAACTCTTTCCTTAAAAATTCCCCATTAATCATATGTTTCGTCTATGGTATTCGCAGGGTTCTTCTATAGAAGCACATTTCTGCTTTTTCAAGTCTTCTCTCTGATTTGTGAGCAAATTGTCCAAGGTGTTGTTGTCCTGCCCTATTGTTGCATTGATAGCGCATAATACTTTAGCATTATTTTTCTTTGTTTTGTCCATATCTCTTTCCTGTTTATATATATATATATATATATATATATATATATATATATATATATATATATATATATATATATATATATATATATATATATATATATATATATATATATATATATATATATATATATATATATATATATACACTATAGAGTTGAACAATTTCAGGCCACCTGGTAATATTTTAAAAAATAGCCAAAAAGTGGTTGTTTTGTATTTTATATAAGAGAAAATTATTATACATAGTTAAAAAAAAAATGAGACATATTTTTTTTTTAGAAATTTTATTGACAAAAGGAAAAAAGCATTTCATGATTAATTTTTGCTCTCAGCAAAATATCCTCCTTTAGCCTTGATTACTGCACCACAAATATTTGGCAGTCATCGCAAAATTTCTCAAAGTATAAATACTTAAAGATCTGTTTCATTTTTTTACTCTTCTATCAAATTCTGGGGTCCTTCAAACTTTTGAACTGTAGTATATATATATATATATATATATATATATATATATATATATATATATATATATATATCGAAAAATATGGCAAACTGGAAAAATTCTTATGACGCGTTTCATCCATTAGAATTACATTGGACAGGGCTTTGTCGTTGTTAGCATGTTTACACATATGCACGAAACGCGGGACGCAGTTAGTTTCAAAATATTTGAAAGAATATTTTTAAAAGAATATGTTTTTTCTTCATTTTTTGTTTCAGTCTAGCCAAATTTATCTGTATTCTTCTTACTTTTATTTTATTTTTTTTTCTCCATCACTTTTTTCCCCGGCTATCCCACACTGTGACAATATAAAATCTACCGAGAATGGTGATATATTGTAAGAGCCTGGACGCAAATTTCTCTTGGCTTATCTAACGATCAAGTCACTTTCCAGACATTTTCGTCTCAGTGGATTATTTTCTCTTTTTAATCAAAGTATCATACCCTATGCCAAAATTGTGGTCAGCTTTTTTTCTATTTTTCTTTTTCTTTTTTTCTCCTTCTTTTCTTTTTTTCTTTTTTTTACGCTGAACAACCAATGCGTTTTGTGTGTTGTTATTTGTTGATATATAAAATTTATTTATTTCACTTAAGTGACTGTAAAGGATTCGACTGGAATTCGAACTCGGCTCTCCGATTGTGATATATTGTTATTTAAAATGTCCTTTTTGTGTTTCTTCCATTTTTTTTTCATTTGAATCGACATTAATCGGGTTCGTCTGGGCAGCGTATGTTGTTAAGTTTACGTCTTTCTTTTCGTGTTCCTGCAGGATGTGGGCGATCATGGCTCTCGACGATATCCTATCCTTTGGAGCTCTTAGTAAGTTTTGTCCTTGCCAAAGTTACGTCCACCGGTCATAAAACTTGCTAGTTTCTATAGCTGACATAATCACAACCCATAATGCAATTATAATATGGCATCAATATTCACTTAAAACTTAAGACGATTACTTGATTACTTTTTTTAGTGTGTAATTATACTTAAAATTGTTGCCCCCTTGACGCAGACAACACGCTGTGATGAATTAAACAAATTCGGCATAAACAACAGTGTCTTTTTTATATGCAAATGACACTTATATTTTTGGCAACTGAGTCTGTATTTATACTTTACGACGTCTTTAATCCGGCATAATTCGGACCAGGCCACAGCCGGATTACAGAAAATTCCGGATGAGAAGAAATCACCTCTAAAAATCCTGATGTCAATAACGTCTTGCCAGCCGATTCCGCATTTATATTGCTGGATGAAAAAGGTTAGAAGAAAGTTTACAGCAGGAAATTAAAATAATCATTAATGCTTTTTAATAATCTCATCCAATACAAAGATTTAAAAAGGCATAAAACCAAAATATAATATATAATTACTATCCTGAACGGGTAAATATGCAGGTATATATAATAAATGAGCAAGTCTATCTCAAAAAAATTCTGCTGCTGTCGGCTGCTGCGGAAAGTGGTAATCAACATATGGCGCTGCCGTCATCGTTGGTCAACTAACGGCATCTGATTAAAACAATTAATGGTCCGTAGGATTTTGCCTGACTATGGAGTGCCGATTTAAACATATCAGACCGTATTTGCATAACTAGTCAATTAATCGGTTTAAGTCAACGTTTTTCGACATTGCTTGTCCCATGCACCCCTGAAAATCCAAAAATCACCCCCTGGAGATGAATTTCACCCTTGTTGAGAACCCCCGGTCTAAATAATCGTTCCAAGTAGTCAAGTAATCGTTTTAAGTAGCGTGCTTAATCGAACTTAGTGCGGCGTAATTTCTTAAGCAAGTATTAGTCACCTCGGATTTCCGAAAATGTATAGTCCCTCTGGCGTCTGCCTCCGACGAGGACTGGACTACAACTGCGCCACACTGCGATCTACACACCCTCATTGAGTCAAGAGAGTAGTTGGAGGAAGCAAGAGAAACAAATTGCCAACTAGGAATTACAAGAACTTGGGTAACAAAACGCTCCCTGTGACTAGCACAGGGTCAAGGAAAGGACAGGACAAATATTGATGATGAAAATATCACATCTATAGGTTCAATTATTATGACATCCTGGGCATGACGATGAAATACATAGGCACCAAGGACACTGATCAGAAGTTTTTCAGGTGCGTGGAACCACCTCTTAATTGCTGTTGCTCCGAAGTCACCCCTGATTCGGGGTGGTAGTACCTGTTAGGGTTCTAGTTATGGGCAAATAGTTAATCTCCAAACTGGGGTCAAAACACTAAGAAAGTGTAAAAAATTAGATGAAAAGGAAAGGAAAGTAAATTAAGGGAAGAAGAAGAAGATGAAGAAGAAGAAGAAAAAAAAAATTATTACCAATAAAACATTATAACCAGCAATACATTTTTTGAAAGATAATTGAAAAAAAATTACTAGCAATACAGTTTTAGAAAAGAAATTATCAGCAATTCATTATTACCAGTAATACATTTTTTAACAGTAATAACACTCTTGACGGCATTAAAGAAACCATTGACGTTGACATGCCGTAAACCAAAACAAACCAAATCAATATATATATATATATATATATATATATATATATATATATATATATATATAGATAGATAGATAGATAGATAGATATGAAGAGACCAAGTGAGACAGATAGGCATAAAGAGATCAAGATAGATAGATAGATAGATAAAAAATATTACCAGCGATAAAAATCTTGTCGGAATTAAATAACCCATTGAGGTTGATACGCCGTAACACAAAACAAAGAAAATCATTATATACTTAGATAGATAGATAGATAGATAGATAGATAGATAGATAGATAGATAGATATGAAGAGACCAAGAGAAAGAGATAGAATGAAGAGATCAAGATAGATAGATAGATAGATTACCAGCGATAAAAAAACTTGTCGGCAATAAATAACCCATTGAGGATGATATATCGGAAAACAAAACAAACCAAATCAATATATATATATATATATATATATATATATATATAGAGAGAGAGAGAGAGAGAGAGAGAGAAAGATAGATAGATAGATAGATAGATAGATATGAAGAGACCAAGTGAGAAAAATAGACATAAATAGATCAAGATAGATAGATAGATAGATAGATAGATAGATAGATAAAAAAAATATTACCAGCGATAAAAATCTTGTCGGCATTAAATAACCCATTGAGGTTGATACGCCGTAAAACAAAACAAAACAAATCAATATATACTTAGATAGATAGATAGATAGATAGATAGATAGATAGATAAAAATATTACCAGCGATAAAAATCTTTTCGGGATTAAATTACCCTTTGAGGTTGATACGCCGTAAAACGAAACAAATCAAAAGAAACCAAACCAATTTCGAAAATCTACAATGCATAGGAAGTTGTGGAGAGCTATGATCACTCACGTCCTGAAGAAACACGGCATATAGAAGATGGTTTGGATAATAGTCACTAACTTGCATTGAAATTGGTTTGCTATTTCTGCTATTTGATGTTCTTATAAGACAATTTTTCCTCCTGTGTGCGTGTAAGAGAAGACGTAAAAGAAAGAAACTTGATAGATGTTGGGTTGGTTTGTAAATATGTGTGCGTGAGTACGTAAGGGTGATGGATAGATTACAAAAGGGAGAAAGAAAAAGAGAAGAAAATGGCGAGGATAGGGGGTCTGTATGCGTGCGTGTGCGCTAATGCGTGAGGGATTATAATGGACAAATGACGGGAGGGAAGGTGATGGTGAGCGACGTTCGTAACGAGGCCCCGAAGAAGAGCTCAAGCAGGTTGATGAAGCGAGTGACTGACAGAACAAAGATGGCCGTCAATTTTTGAGACAAGAAAGACTCCCAGACTCATTTAGATCCCTTCATGGCAAACTTGTCAAACTTCTAACTTTTCATTTTCACGTTTGCATTTCGGGATCCGTGTTTCTTGAAAGCCGCACACTTCCTCACGCCAAGTTAATCTGCGCCTTTCTCCTCTACACGATTTCATCACCACCCAACCCGTTGCCACCGTCACTGTTCTATCAGTGAGCTTTTATCTCTCGTGCGCGTTTTCGGTCTTCCGGTCTTTCCTCTCGGTCACACACGCCGTTTTCCGTTTCTTGGAGTCCAACAGTGCTTTCATTTAAATACGTTCACTTTGATACAGTGATCGAAGGTTCTTGCTTATAGCAACACATTCTTTCTTTTTTCCTTAATCTTTCTTTCTTTTTCTTTCTTTTTTCCTTAATCTTTCTTTCTTTTTTCCTTAATCTTTCTTTCTTTATCTTTCTTTTTCCTTAATCTTTCTTTCTTTTTTCCTTAATCTTTCTTTCTTTTTCCTTAATCTTTCTTTCTTTTTTCCTTAATCTTTCTTTCTTTTTCTTTCTTTTTCCTTAACCTTTCTTTCTTTTTTTCTTAATCTTTCTTTCTTTTTCTTTCTTTTTCCTTAATCTTTCTTTCTTTTTTCCTTAATCTTTCTTTCTTTTTCTTTCTTTTTCCTTACTCTTTCTTTCTTTTTTCCTTAATCTTTCTTTCTTTTTCTTTCTTTTTCCTTAACCTTTCTTTCTTTTTTTCTTAATCTTTCTTTCTTTTTCTTTCTTTTTCCTTAATCTTTCTTTCTTTTTCCTTAATCTTTTCTTTCTTTTCTTTTCTTTTTCCTTACTCTTTTCTTTTTTTTCCTTAATCTTTCTTTCTTTTTCTTTCTTTTCCCTTAATCTTTCTTTCTTTTTTCCTTAATCTTTCTTTCTTTTTCTTTCTTTTTTCCTTAATCTTTCTTTCTTTTTTCCTTAATATTTCTTTCTTTTTCTTTCTTTTTCCTTAATCTTTCTTTCTTTTTTCCTTAATCTTTCTTTCTTTTTCTTTCTTTTCCCTTAATCTTTCTTTCTTTTTTCCTTAATATTTCTTTCTTTTTCTTTCTTTTTCCTTAATCTTTCTTTCTTTTTCCTTAATCTTTCTTTTCTTTTTCTTTCTTTTCCTTAATCTTTTCTTTTCTTTTCCTTAATCTTTCTTTCTTTTTCTTTCTTTTTTCCTTAATCTTTCTTTCTTTTTCTTTCTTTTTTCCTTAATCTTTCTTTCTTTTTTCCTTAATCTTTCTTTCTTTTTCTTTCTTTCTTTTTCTTTCTTTCTTTTTCTTTCTTTCTTTTGTTCGTTTTTTTCTTTATTTTTCATTTTTTTCTTTCAACCTCTTTCCTTTTATATCTGTCTATATCTCTGAGATCAGCTATTAAGATTACTTGTATTATTTGCATTATTCAGACTGTTATCCTCATTTTCATTGTCATATTCACAACGCTTCGGCCGTTCTACGCTCCGGCCTTTATGTCATATTTCTCCGTCTATTCCTCTGTCTATATCTCTGAGATGAGGTATTATGATTACTTGCATTATTTACATTATTCGAACTGTTATCCTCATCTTCATTGCCATATTCACAATGTTTCGGCCGTTGTACGCTCCGGCCTTTATGTCATATTTCGCTGTCTATTCCTCCGTCTATATCTCTGAGATGAGGTATTATGATTATTTGCATTATTTACATTATTCGGACTGATATCCTCATCCTCATTGCCATATTCACAATGTTTCGGCCGTTGTACGCTCCGGCCTTTATGTCATATTTCGCTGTCTATTCCTCTGTCTATAACTCTGTCTATATCTCTGAGATGAGGTATTATGATTATTTTCAGTATTTACATTATTCCCACTATTATCCTCATCTTCATCTATATCTCTGAGATGTGGTATTATGATTACTTGTATTATTTACATTATTCGGACAGTTATCCTCATCTTCATTGCCATATTCGCAACGTTTCGGCCATCTTCAGGTGATTTGAATTTCGAATTGAACCCTTTATTCTTCCCTTTGTTCTTTCTTTTCCTTTATTTCGTCTACCGGGGCAGATTGTTCTAGATCCACGTGCCATATCTCTTCCGTAATAAAGGGTTCGGTTCGAAATTTCAATCACCTGAAGAAGGACGGAGCATAAAACGGCCGAAACGTTGGGAATATGACAATGAAGATGAGGATAATAGTCCGAATAATGTAAATAATGTAAGTAATTCTTTCCTCTCTCTCTCTCTCTCTCTCTCTCTCTCTTTCTCTTTTCTGTATTCCTTTCGTTCGCACTTTTTTTTCTTTTATTTCCTCTTTCTTTCTGAATTTCTTATTTCTATTCTCTTTTTCTACCCCTCCCCCGTCACTTTTATTTTTCTGCATCTTTTTTCTCCCTTTTTTGCATTGCTTTCCCTTTTTCTCTTTCTTCTCGATCATTTTCTCATTTCATCATTTCTCTTCCTATGTATTTATTGTAATATTCTTAAGTTTATTTTGCAAATACTTTACTTTTTTATGATATCATCTCCCCAAAATACACACAAATCTCCAGACCTTCGTCGCTATAGACGTTATCATAATTTCAACTTAAAAAATAGTTTTAATTTAAAAAAAGAAAAGAATGTAATTTATTAAAGCAAAATATATTTAAAGTGCAGCAATTTCTGGTTCAGATTTGAAATAAGTACACAATCAGTAATATCAACTCTGAACATGTCCACAATGTGCTGGCCGTGTTTGTAAGATAAAATAAACATTCCCTTAGCCATACATATATAAAAAAAACGACATACTGAGTTAAAAAAAATTCCTGTTAATTGTTAATAGAACAGCCGAAAGCGCTCGTATATATACAACATTTGCATAGAAATGAAAACACTAATAGGGATGTAGAAAAACCGAATAAAGTGTACCTTTCAGACGTTTTTAATGAAACTTTATATATATATCTATATTTATCTATCTATCTATCTATCTATCTATCTATCTCTCTCTCTCTCTCTCTATATATATATATATATATATATATATATATATATATATATATATATATACACATAATACAAAAAAGTAAGACTAAAGTTTTGCATGACAAGTCTTCGGGAAGTTTTGAGATAAAAACTCTGCTTTCATTTGAAGAAAACATATCTTCACAAATTTGCTGAAAAAAGTGCATACCATGATGAAAAAATGACTCAAACTTGATAAAATAATTTTGTCGTCAATTACGTTTTATCATTATAGGAAAAACACACGTATTATTTAATTACTTAATTAATTTTTTTTAATCCATTTTAATCCATTCAATCCCGTTGGTTAAAATCTTACGTCATCGAGGGTGGGACAAATATTAGTCTAGTATATTTTAGCGTTTTTGTTTTTTTTTGTTTTTTTTGCTAAAAAAAAAAACATTGATTTGGAAATTCTTACAAAATTCAAATGATGATTGGATTTTAATTAAATTTTCCGGACAAATGAATGAAAATATTTTATTACGGTAATTTTTTTTTACACCTGTTAGCACCCAAGTATTATATATATATATATATATATATATATATATATATATATATATTAATATATATATATATATATATATATATATAATATTAAGTATATATTTATATATATATATATATATATATATATGTCTGTGTGTGTGTGTGTGTAAAATATATAGATTAGTTAATAGATTAAGGACAAACAAAAGTGTACCAATGTAATCAGTACGATAAACATTTATTAAATATTAATTATTAACCATATGACAGAAATTAAGTCATATGGTTAATAATTGATATTTAATAAAATTAAGTAACTCATCTGTTTTACATATTATAAGAAGCACACGTACAACCCACTTTTCTAATTATATGTGTGTGTATGTGTGGATGTGTAAAAAAATGAGAGCGGTTTTGACGCAGTAAGGACCGAACGCATTATAGCAGTTATGGTCATGTCTATTTTATTGCTTCACAACAGAACTGAAATGAAATAAGTGCTGGTTTTCCGTCGATCTAAGGTAGGCACCTTACTGCCATTTTTTATAGTACAACAAAAGACTGAAAGCATACATGACTAGCTATTTAACTATTACTTCACGACTAAATTTGTCTTCCATACGACTTTTCTTCTACAGTAAGCTTCCTACGAAGCTGGCTTAGTTATCTGTCTATATTTCTGAGATTATCTTGTACACTATTTACATTATTCAGACTATTGTCCTCATCTTTGTCGCCATATTTATTACAACCTTTCGGCCCTTCAGTATCTGTTTATATTTCTCAGATGAGGTATTATGTACACTATTTACATTATTGTCCTCATCTTTGTTGCCATATTTATCCATTCCTTCAGTATCTGTCTATATTTCTGAGATGAGGTATTATGTACACTATTTAGATTATTCAGACTATTGTCCTCATCTTTGTCGCCATATTTATTACAAACTTTCGGCCCTTCAGTATCTGTCTATATTTCTGAGATGAAGTATTATGTATACTATTTACATTATTCAGACTATTGTCCTAATCTTTGTCGCCATATTTATTACAACGTTTCGGCCGTTGTACGCTCCGGACTTCTTCTTCAAGAACACATGGCATAGTGGATAAAGGCGTTAGTTAGATCCAGTGACAGGACCCAAAGTGTGTGAGTTCAATAGCCGGTTAAGGCAGTGGGGAACTTGGAGAGGGGAATTAACAGGAGATAACTAATAACTGATATCCATTAGAAATGGCACGTGGAACTAGAACAGTCTGCCCCAGTGAGCGAAATAAAGGGTTCAGTTCGACATTCCAACGACCTGAAGAAGGCCGGAGCATACAACGGTCGAAACGTTGTCATAAATATGGCGGCAAAGATAAGAAAATAGTCTGAATTATGTAAATACTGGCTTAGTTAGTAATAAAAATTGTAAAAATTCTAATGGCCCTAGAGACAAGAAGACGCATATTATGTTATCTGCAGTTTAATATGCTCCTACCCTCTCATTCGCCGAGAAATCCATGAATTCTTGTAAAAAAGAAAGGAAAACTGCCTCTCTGAGAATCGAGACAGAATGGTTGATAAAGACGGAAATCTGACGAAGCAATACAGTCGGCAGCGAAGAAATGAAGAATCGAAGAAGGTCCGATCTTCGCTAATCTACTAGCAGACTTGAAACGAAACGAAACGGTTAGTGGAACTGACAGACACGCGAAGAGGAAAAGCATCCGAGGAGATAGGGGGGGGCGCTAGCAGGCATCCGTTTTAAGTGGTTCTAAACGTGACGTTGAGACTCTGATTGCTGACACCAACAGTTAAATGGCTACGATAGAAAGGCAGAGGATAAACTAGAAGACACATCAAATAATGGCTTTGGACGCTCACCGATTCTCGTAGCTTCGAAACAAGTATCCGTGTACGTCTGTGTGTGCTTGTGCGTGTGTGTGTTTGTATGCGTGAGTATTTGTGTGTGTGTGTTTGTATGTGTGTGTGTTTGAATGCGTGTGTGTGCCTGTATGTGTGTGTGTTTGCATGTGCGTGTGTGTTTGTATGTGTGTATTTTTGTGTGTGTGTGTGTGTGTTTGTATGTGTGAGTGTCTTTGCATGTGTTTGTGTGTGTGTTTGTATGTGTGTGTGTCTGTATGTGCGTGTGTGTTTGTATGTGTGTGAGTTTGTATGTATGTGTCTGTGTCTGTATGTGTGTGTGTCTTTGTATGTGTGAGTGTCTTTGTATGTGTGTCTTTGTATATGTGTGTGTTTGTATGTATGTGTCTGTGTTTGTATGTGTGTGTGTCTTTGTATTTGTGTGTTTGTATATGTGTGTATTTGTATATGTGTGTGTGTCTGTGTGTATTTGTATGTATGTGTGTGTGTGTGTTTATATGTCTGTGTGTGTGTGTGTGTGCGTGTGTGATCATTGTTCAGCTGTGGCTGTTGTTGAATAATCTTTAGGAAGCAAGTTTCGCATCTCCATTGAAATTTCGTCAGAGTTCGATCCTTATAAGACGCAGCAGTAGTTTTTAGCCCTTATAAAATATTTGATTAACCAACTCTTAATACTTCGGGGAATGGCATAGCATTAGTAACGCATCCGGGTGGTTATCACGTTCGCTTTCCAACCATGAGGCCCGTGTCCGAATCTCGCACATAGTCGATTTGTCTGAAAGGTGAATGCTCGTTGTTATCGGCCATGACAGTTGCCTGCTTTACATAGTTGCAGTATAAACCACAGTAAGACTGTAGGTATTGAATAAACACGGACGTGCCTGGGCAAGCACCAGTGATAGGGATTGTATAACCGTACTACTAGAAAGGTATACTCGGATGTGAGCAGCTAGCGGGGCGGGTTTTCAAGTACCTCATTTAAAATATAATAGACATATTTCGTTCTTCATTTTACTGTTAGACTAACAGCCGTAATGTAGTTCTCTGTACATTTTCTATACATAATTTCATCGTAATTGTTTGAACTTTGGTATATGGTACCTAGACTTTATAAATTCAAGTGCAGCACGAAGTTAGCAACAGGGTTTCATTAAATCAAAGACGAAATGGTTAGATGGAACCGTAAGTTCTTTGCTAACAGTTTCTTTTCTCATACTTTTCGCTTGTAGAAATCTTTCCCAGCTTCTTGCTTTCCCGCCAATTTTGATCTTTAAAAATTTAAATGCAATCTCAGTTGTTATCTGCTGCCTTTTTGATTTCTCTTCTTTTATTGTTCTTGCTCCTTAATAATGTTTTTTTCCTTTTCTTATTCATAAACACTTGGTAACGCCTTGTTGCTTTGTGACTTTGTTGGCTTGCTTGGGGTGAAATACCTACTAAATATATTATATCTACCGAGGTATTTGCGACCTAACGTAAATGAAGAGGCACTCATTATTGCTGGAAAATGCTCAGGAAAAAAACGATATCCTGTTTAATGTTTTCTTTAATGACACAAAATCAGTTTACAAACATTAAAATCACTATTTGCACGGCGGGCGTGGCCGGCAGACGTCACATTTGTGTGTGCAGGAGTTGAAGAAGAGCTTTCCCAAGCACTTTGTCCTCGCACGCCTGGATCCATTTTTCCTGCCTCAACCAGGAGTATCTACGTCGCAAACTTGCTGGGGCTGTAGCGATCCGTGTGTGGTTTTCTGCGTTGCAGGTGCCATCATTTGCCAGGGTTGCTCCCACGTATGCAATATACAGTATTCTATATGGCAGTGAATGCAGAAAAATCTCAAAGATTAAGGAGAGGCTTGAATCTGCAGAGATGTGGTTCTACCGAGGAATGCTTAGAATGACATGGATAGAGTATGTGAGCAAGGACGGAGTCTTAAAAAAATTAGAACTACAAGGAAACTTACAGTTATAATCTGTTGTAACCTTGGGAAGGTTACTGAATAGAATAGTCAATAATAGAATAGTCAAACAAAGGTTGGTAATGAACGATAATACTTAGGACAAGAACAACACATATATGATTCGCCAGCGTCGCGTAGAAGTAGTAGTCAACTGCGAGAAGTGAATCAAATAAATTTCACAATGAATCTCCAACTACAGGGTCAGATGTGGTACAAGGTCCGTAATCTCAGCCCCAAATTCCCCGTAGACCCCGTATAAAACCAGGTTGGGTAGCTGTTTCCCGGGAGGAGACTCTGCCCTTCGATATAGCCTCGTCTGGGGACCCTCTCTGTCCGAAGGCAGAGAATTTAACCAGCACATCTGGATACGTATCTCCAACTGCAGGATATCTACCACCAAACTCCCCATGCAGTCAGATGTGACACAAGGCCGAATTTAATGTGGGACATCCGAGACCGTAGGCTCAGCCAAAAATTCCCCGTAGACCCCGTATAAACCGAGGTCGGGTAGCTGTTTCTCGAGAGGAGACTCTACCATTCGACATAGACTCGTCCGTGGATCAGCTCTATCCGGAGGCAGAGAGTTTGACCAGCACGGCCGGAGACTAATCTCCAACTGCAGACCAACATACAGTATTTACTATTGTATTTATGAAACTGGGGACATACACATTATCGTCAGTAGGTATGCTAAAACGTAATCAGAAAGAGATTTTTGATGTTTCTGGTACACATTGACAAAGGAAAGAGGGACTAGAGAATTTACCACTCACAGGAAATAATGAACGCAAGAGACGTAAGGACATATAGAGAATAAATTATATGAACAGAGTTAAAGATGGATATTAATCATTCTCAAGTTACTTATACAAGAAAAGAAAGGAAAGTTATGGAAAGATATTGATATAATGGAATATGCATACACCTGTATTTCACCTCACTTGAATGTGATTGGCTGGTGTCCGTCATAAATACCGACGGACGTGTAGGAGAGTCAATAGCCTTAGTCTGAGAGCTAAGTCTATAACGACGCCCATTGCCAAAACCACTTACCTACTTCGTTCAAATATATCCCTTTCCGGGACATAACATATATATATATATATATATATATATATATATATATATATATATATATATATAATGGAATATGTGTACACCTGTTTTCCCCCTCACTGGAATATGATTGGCTGATGTCCGTCATAAATACCGACGGACTTGTAGGTACGACAGAGAAGAAAGCATTCGTCTGAGACGCCCATTGGACTACGCCATTGATGTACACTTCTTACCTGCGACTACGACGCGTACCAGTCGATTACTGCTACCATATTCTACTTGGTTATAGTAGCCAAAACCACATAGCTACTTCGTTCAAATAGATCCCTTTCCGGGATATCCCAGATATGATCGCCTATGCCCTGAATAGATATAACACATAAGACAATGGCACATCGAAACAGTGTAATGGTTAGTAAGCTAGTCTTGCTAGAACAATTGAGACACAGTAGTGAGTTCGATCCTCACTTGGTGTCCCATACTTTCAGCCTTGTGCCACATCTAAGCTACACTAGGAAAATCACTATAAATATTTGTAATCGAATCAGTTAATTATGCTAGACTATATTATATTTAGTAAATATCTTTGTTGTACTGTCTTTCCTCTAATGAGGCTATTGTGGACTTTTCCACTTACTATAGAGTCGTAGGAAGGTAAACGTCAAGAGAAGAGTGATATAGACTGTTCTACCGAGGCTGTGACTGTTCGCCTTAAAAGTGGTTATAAGTAAATATTTTATTTTTAAAACACCATATCTCATAAACTTTCATCCTAAACAATATTTCAGACCCTTTTAAAAACATTTTTCTAAAATAGTATTGGTGAGCAAACAGCGTAAATTTTCATTCAATTAAATTAGTCTTAGATCGATACAACCATTGGAAATACTGTATAAAATATGTGTAACATGACATGAAATATAAAGTTTAAAACATTTTCTAAAAACAGAACTGTGATGATGCCTAAGAATATGCCACTTTTAAGACCCCAGCTCCAGCCCCTAACAAAGAACAAAGCCCAAGCATTATGCATGTTTTTGCGTTTGTTTTTTTACAGTGAAGATGTACAATTCTGCCGTTTTTGTCATTAATATGTTTTAAGTCACTTAAATAACAGGAAAATAATACAATAGTATTTTAAATAAGTTCTATCGAAAAAATACGCGAATCTAGGGAGTTCTCAGCGAATAACAAGTACATATATTCTAAAGAAAACTCCGCGAATATGTGAAGCCGCAAATGCTGAAACGCGAATAGGCGAGATCTGACTATATTGCACATTTGCAGAAAAAAAAGTGCCTATCATTGGTTAATCGTAAAGTTGATAACTCAAGACTACATATTGCTGAGTCAGTCAGGAAAAGACTATAGGAGGAAACATGGATGTTTTATTCAATCCTCCTTACGACGCCTCACATCTTTTTAGATTCTTTCAAGATACTTTTAGAGGGGAAACTTTATTAATAGTGAAGAGATTAAAACTGATGTCCAACGTACATTTGCATCGAAACCTGACACATTTTACGCCCGAGGAATCATTAATATGATCTTCATAAAGTCAGTCAGTCAAGTGCCATATGCGATGCACGCATGGACGATCATGTTTCTTTTTGATTTTTGACTGCCTAGGCAGAAGATATTCCCGCGGTAGGCTGTGGTTACATTCTGCGGTAGACTGGTTGTCAAACAAGGCTTGAAAACAAACCAAGCCACAAGAGTTCAGTCTTTCCTGTCTAAAAGGTGGGTAGAAGAGATGGATTCACATTTTTTCCAAGGGTATTTACGTATAAGCGAATGTAAAGAACCCAAATGGAATTTGA